CAGTAAAATTAAAAATGCATTTAGAATTGATTAAAGCATATTCGACTGCCTATCATAATACCCCACCCATAAAACACGATAAACACCGTTTTTGTGGGAAAACATGTAGGTTGTAGGGATTAATGAGTGGGGCTACATAAGCTACTGTTGCCCAAACATTGTCTAGAAAAGCCATTTAAATTTTTCAGTGGGTACCACTGAACAGTACTTGCAGGTTTCCTCTGGAATATGACCCTTGCCAGATGCTATGCTGTATTTCAGTTTAGCTATGGCCAAGTGAACTTTCTTGTTAACATTTGCTTCCAGTTGGTCATATCAGGATAATGGAGTTGGCAACACAGACAAGACTTATGGATTCTCTGTCAATAAGGTGCCACGCAAGAAGACCTGGACTTTGTGCTGAATAAACACATTGAAAAAAACCACTATCTACCACTTGGCCGTCTCTATGTCTGATAGACTTAATGCTGTTTTAAATTTACATGGGCAGTCAAACCAGTACTGACATTTTGTATTTGTACTTATTCCGGATTCATTTACCGTTTTTCGCGCTTCCCTGCCTTAAATGCATTTATATTCGATATAAGATCAGTAAAGTGTAAAACAGCTACTATCTGGAATTCGAGCTTTTAGTAAAAATGAACTATTTCCATGTTAAAAAACGGTAAATAACAAACCAACCTACGTCCTTTTTTACTTATGGTACTCAATTTACTACTGTAAAACTTGGGAGGCCACCGCCTGTGCCTATGTTACCACATTTTATTCGGATGGACAACCTACTTTAGGTAGAAAGCAAATAAATGAGGCCACTTACCACCGAAGTCGACTGAGTGGAAGGTTGCGATTCATCGTAGTCGCACTTTGGCACCGGAAAGCAGTTGTTTGCACGGGCCCACTCACACCATTTCTCATTTGCCGGGTAGACCTCGCCCCTGACATGAAATCCGGCAAGAAATTGTCTGCACACCTCATCGAATCTGTTTTGGTACTCTGAGGGCAGGTCGGCGAACTCGTTATTGGAACTGTCAAAATTTGGATTGGAGAGAAGAAAGAGGACTGCTTTGATGGCGTCGAGGAGGCTGTAACAACTGAATGCAAGAAAAAAGAAGATAAAGTGTTTGGATAATTGTATGCATTCTCTGTTTTCCCCCACGCCAACTCCAGAAAATAGGTTTTTTGTAAAAAATGCTACTCACAGACTGTGAATACTATTTTAAAAGTGACACTTTTGCGCGTACGTGTGCAGACGCGTATGACGCACCGGCGTGAAAACACTAGGGTTTTCAAAGGCATTGCCTATTACCATCACCAAATAAACTGTACTTAACAGTACTAAATGAACAGCGTACCTGTTCCAGTCATCCAGTATGCTGAGGCAAATGTAGCCATTCTTTGGATGAATGTTGGGATGAAAAATTGGTGTGAGGAAACGGATCTGAGGCTGATTACGGGGATAGTTTTCAGAGGCGACTATCTGAAACAGGAGTCAGATGAAAAAATTACGCTGACTTATTTCAATTTATGCGAAAAGTACGAACAATTTTTAGGTCGACCTGCGTGTCTTGATCTGCTGAACTTTCGTCGCACATGGTGGAACTGAGCGTGATCATTGCGTGGCCATTTGCCTCCCTGGCGCTGATGTTACACGACGCGTTGATCTGTGCGTTCCCCAATTGGCGACTTGCCTTGGCCAAATTGAGCCTCAGTACGGAATATGGATCGACAGGTCGTTGCACTTGTTTATAAACTACGGAGTCCGCGAACCATGACTCAAGTAACCCACGAATCACGCCATTGTTACCCCTCGCGAGAATTTCGGCCTCATCAAATTTGAATGTGTGCTCGGGTCTCGTGGGATGAGCTGCAACTTGACAATTGGCATCATTCTTCTGTACTGCTGCTGCTGCCGCGTGTTCGGCAATTCTCGTCTTGAAAAGTCTTTCACTTTTTTCAACATAATTGCTTTCTCCGCAACTGCACCAGATCCTATAGAGGATTCTAGATGGTTTTCTGCAGTGACAATGGCTCTTTTGATTTCATTATCTGACACATGATGGTTGCCTCCGGGCTTTTTGACACTCTGCTATTGTCTCTGATCAAGGACCCGCGACTAAATCTTCATACATCTTAACAAGATGTTAATTAGAAAGATGCCAGAATGATGCTTTGGTAGGCCAGCTTAAGTATCTTAACCCATTACCTCCCATAATTTTAACCCCTTTTGATTTTTTTTGAAACTTGAATACCTATGGTAAAAAAGCGTGTATATAAATAAATTTAGAGCGAATTCTTTAAAAATCTCATGTGAATATCAGAGAAATATACCTAATAGATATAGCATGAAGGTTAAATATGCGTATATATAGACAGATATGGGATCACCAAGAGGTAATGGGTTAATTATGCTGTGCTTACTACACAAATCTTAGAAATGAGACGACTTAACGACCTACCTCTAGAGTGAACATCGCATGCGCGTAAGGTCCCTCATTCGGCGTGAGAAGGATTTCAAGTCTGCGCCCGCAGACGGAGGAGATACTCGCTTGCTCACTGGTGGATTCTCCAATATTCACATAGAGATTGCGCAGATCTTTGAGGTAGCTTCGCCCTCCTTTGCCGGCCATCGTCTGTGGCGTTTGTTTTCTAACCCTTCACATAAGTAAACCAGTTTGTATCAGAGAATGTTGGCAGCTGCATAATAATAGTGCTCAAACGCACCCTTCTTTGAGGAGAAGAAGGAGAAGGAGCATCCAGGCTACTTTTATTCAGTAAACGCGAAGATCTAACAGTTATTTTAGTGAATAGGATGGAGCTTCGAGATCAAGTCTTGCGGCCGGCGTTAAAAGACTTTACTAACTCCCGAATTCAAATTAATGGGCACGCGGATAATGGTTCGAGCAAATAATAGGACAGGGAGAAAACTACTGACGGCCTAGGTGTCAGACTCTAACGCCACCAACAGAAAAGTGGACATACCGCCCTTTTATTATTTCCTCTGTCCGCGCGACCAAGAAGCACGGCGAAGTTCATGTCCAATGACGCACGCCACGACGCCAAGGACGCACGGTGAGACGACGTGGATAGGGATTTAACCAATCACAAAGGCTACGCCCCCCACTCTCCATTCTCTCCTAGCTTGACTACAAAGCATGTGAGTTATTGCTGTAGTCTCATTTTCCTAGCAAAAAGCCTCCTGTACGAGTCCGAAAGCTCAGACTAATACAAGGGCTCTCCCAGAGATCTTGCCTGTGTCTTCTTCGCAACAAGTATTTGGGCTTGAAGTCACGTTAGGCCGACAAAAGCAACGGGTAATTGAATGTGCATATTTGAGTGTTTCAGTGACCGAGCGTGAGATTTTTAACTGGATCAGTGGACCCAAGATATCTATCGGTAAAAAAAGTTTAATTTAGGCAGCTACATATAGGTGTCAGTATGTCAGGAAAATACCAATAAAGTTTTTTAAAAGTTTCCTTTTAAAATAAAACTGCATCACTGGCTTTCAAAGTACACATATGAAACAGATCTATGTGGAAGTAGCATTCTGTTGATATGACTGTATAAAGGAAAGTGTTCGTTATAATTTGTCCTCAAACATAATCCAGTCCTTGCCAACAGGCAGTTAACGCCAATATAATAAAAATACAGCATATCTACAAAGTTAAGATAGCGTGGAATTGTCAGCAACAGCTTATTGTCTGCTGTCTACCGATGATACCAAAACCCCAACCTGGATAACCCATGGCTTCGAAATGAACTTTTCTGGTTACTGAACAATGTGAATAGACAGGCTCTTTACTCCGACAAATGAGCAGCCATAGCCAAATTCAGACTGAAAATGTTACTGTTCAATTAATAACTAATATTTGTTTTGTCTAGAACATCGTTCATGATGTGAGAAAAGCAAAAGACTATTGCTCCTAGCCGAAGAGTGTTAGGAGCCCAGCCTAACCGAAAGCCAGCAGAGACTTGGAGGCTGTCTTGACGCGTCGTAGTTGCGGCTGGCCGCAACAATGACTCCCTTGTGAATGCGGACAGCTGCGGAGTCATATGCCTTCGCTGTGAGTTTGCTTACGCGATGACCTTAAACCTCTGGACTGGACACAGACGCACGTGAGCCCACGCGCGTGCCCAACTGGTCGCAATTCCTCAAGGGCCAATTAGGTGCCCCACACGGCAGGTGAACTTATTCCAATGCGCCCAATCATGCCACAAGCGGACGCGCTAGACAATCACTTATAAGCAACTGTCACTGGCTTCGCCCGCGGCCAGACATCAGCCAGCGAGTAACTACCATCCGAGAAGGCGACTCCGAGTTTTGTACACGATAAATTATCCTCCAGGTGGCTTCCACTTTTATGCCCTCCTTGTTGTGTAAGACTTTGTGGATTCCAAAGGGTGTAAATAGACGGTGACACGGACACAGCCACCGTTACAACAAAAAAGACCGGTAAGTGTTCACTAAACATTAACTTCAAGCATCATTGCAAGCATGTAACGAAACTGCATTTGAACGGTAGCCGGCCAGATCGACTACATCTTAGACAGCGCAAGGTGTCCTGGCGTAACGCATGGTCGAGGAGCGATATTAAAATTGGCAATGCATGCTGATCAGGTCATGTTGAAATTGTATCCCGCTACGTGCAAAGAACCTATTTAAAACTTATAAATATCGCAAAATTACGGTGTATGAAGACAGCTGATGCTTTGAACAAACAAACTCTAGTCTCGCCCCGCAGCCCGAATTGAGTGAGTAAGCAAACTCAACTGGTTAAAGCCTTTAGTCTGAGAAAGAGCAGGTGGATCCTCGAATACACCAACAGGTGTCAGAATCGACAGAAAATACCAATATTTTTTCGATCCAGATAGCTTGCGCAAGATTACGATTTCTCCGCTCAACCACATTAAATAACAGAGAATTATCCAGAGGAAACTACAAAAAACGCTCGTGGATGAGGCTGGATATGTCGATGTCAACCAACTAGCCCCCTTAGTCATTGGCAGTCGCTGCTTCCGATTGCAATATGAGTGATTACTTTTCTGTCGAATCAGCAATTAAATTAGTGCGTTGCTGTGAGCTATCAGATCAGCAACTCATCTCCATTTTATGCACTGTAAGCGCTAACGTTATACTTGAGCTAAGGAAAACCAAAGCGCCCAAAAAGAAAATACAGCAAATTAACTCAAAAAGCCTTTTCCCGATGGTTTACTCTCACCGAAAAGATATAAAAGGATAATATTGTGTCTAATGGTTAATGCCCCCAATAAGAGAGATCGGACGAAGTATACCTTGATAAATCAAATTGATATTTCTGATACAGAAAAAAGATGTTCGCAACTATCCAGCCAGTAAGTGATCCGATTTTTAACCATAAATAATGATTAAAATAAACTATCAGAACGAAAATTGTCTGAAAGGCTTACAAGTAATTTCGCACATGTTATATTATACTGTGTAAAACAAGCGTTTTTGATTTCAGAAATATGAATAAACTATTGCTGAGAATCATAAAAAGGTGTGCATAGGAGTTGCATCTAAACACACGATGAGACAAAATAGAACGAGGCATGCCAAACATAAACTACTTAGCGGTTAAAGAAAAGCGTGAGTATGCAGCAGGAATCAGAGGCTGCGGACTATGAAAGTTGTTGTTTTCTTCACAGGGACCTATCACGATAGTAAATCTGAGCTGAGTTTTTCAACGCCAAGCGGAAACCTTAAATGAGAATTTTGGTTGGACAGAAAGAGGGGTTAAACATAAAGTGAAAAAGTCACAACAGCTTTACTTTGATTAAAAAATAATGGGAGGCCTATCGACAAATTTTGAAGTATGCGCGTGCTTCCATACTTCCCGATGCATAAAATCAAGGGTCGAAAAGCATGGAGCATTTAGGTAAGCATGAGCAATAGGTAGGAAAAGCCTCCTGGTGGTGCATGTTTGTTTAGGTGATTAACAAGATAAACGAAATGTTTATTCTCGCTTTCGAAACTGGTGTATGTTTGGAATTATCGTCTTCCGGATGTTCATGTATAACGATGAGCAGACTTTGTATTAATTCTCTCAACCTGCAGACACTTGTCTGTACCCTTTTATAGAAATCGTCCAAACATGTTCTTAATCATGGCGACATGCAAAATCACGATAAAGACCATTTCAAATGCGCTGGCCAAGAGCATGATCTGACTACTATTAGTTGTTAATGAAACCTCATTCTTAAACCATGGCTGGACATTTAAAAAGATGAGTCAACGGAACATTTTAGACGACTTAACTTAAAAATGGCTAACATTTCAAGCAAATATGCATTTTGTTTGCATTGATCATTTACTCACGCCACGAAGTGAAAACATGTTTACGTAATTGTTCACTTCCCGAACCATTATTTTTTTGCCGGCTTAAGTTTAGACGTACAGAAAAATCAAGAGGAACACGATCAGCCTACAACTGCAACGCAACCGTAAAATGGCTGCTTAATGTGACGTTTGCTCTACTATTAATGCACAAAACCAAAGAAACATTTTATAAAATTGTAACGGAAACTTTTTTTTATCGTATTTTTTGTTCATAATATATTATAAGACCATCACTGGTAGCAAAATTTGACGCATTGTCTTAGGCACAGTGGGCTTAAAAAGTAAATCGGCTCACACCAAAGGTTTCACTCGGGAAGCCTGCAATTTATCAGATTTTCTGTGCCTCAATTCTTACCAGGCGCATCCGTCTCATGGGTGGAGATTGGCGTTCGATAACGAACGCTACAATATGTTTCGAATTCGAGGGTTAACCCTCGCATTCGAATCGAGTCTGATTTATAATCACGTCAATTCAGACCAAATTTTTATAATAAGAATGCAGACTCAAAGTGCTGGACTTCGAATTCTCTCATGGGAATGGATCGTTAATTTTTGCAGATAACGCCTGCGCGCACTCTCACGCCATAAGAAGACTGTGCAGGGGGTGAGGGGAGGGGTAGGAAATCCTTACAGTATGCGCGCACGCGTTCAGTGCGTACATTTGCGTAGGGACACAGAATGGCATGGAAGAGCATTATCGGACTTAACAGAGGACTGCTCTCGTGAGCTACAGAGTAGCATTTGCTACTAGGATTGATGCGGTGAAAAGTCACAAAAGTGGTGAAGACAAAACATATTATTCCAGACTCAACAATACTTATCTAGGTAGTCAAGCTATGTTATTATTTTTATCATATATGCAGGAGCAATACCTGGTAATCCTGTTAACTCTTCTATCGGAACCAGCGATAACTAAAAGGTGAAATATTTCTCACGTCCCAATGTTAGCGCAGTAAAACAAACCAAACGTTCATCCATAGAGGGTAGGGAAAGGATCCGTGGAAATGCCTTTTTTATAGCCTACGGACATATCGGCCCTTTCA